TAACATGTCACCAGCTGTAATCACATGGCCCTGTCAACTCTTATTGATGCATAACTGCTCCAAATATGGGACATTTTAAAAACCTTGGTAAAATTCTTATCATGATGCCCAGGTGTGGCTGGGCACCCCCAGCTTGTATGTAATAAATTTCGCTTCCACTTGATTAAACGGTGGGAAGGATTACTGTATTCTACTTTGCCATCGAGAAACCTAGGAGCGTGAGTATTTTTAAGTAAACCTCAATACAGTATTCACATCTCACAGAAAGTTTACAGTTTCTTTAATGAAGGAAAGCTTTTAATACGCTCTGAAAATTTTTTAGGGATTTCACGTGCGTACTTATTCACTCCAAATTCTTGAAAAATGTGCCACGTACTGAGAATCGATGAGAAACAGATGCTATTTCATACAGCATACGGTAATTCTCGTCAGCTTGTATTCGAGCATATTTTGATTAATGCTTATTACTTTTCAAGCAAGAATTTCCTTTGCAGCAGCCTTGATGCCGGACCAAGTTTCTTTTGCCGTGGGAATGATCTGCTCTTGAGGAAGTAGGAATCCAAATTCTCCCGTATCTCGGAGCTCCAAAGTGTACACGTAGGGAACTTTAGCCACTCCGAAAGCCCAGTCGTCTGATGGCCCGGAGTTGATATCTACAGAACAGATGAGAAAACTACTTTTTGAAGCTGAATAATCAACTTTTCTTTTGAATGCACGTACACAATAAAATTGCCGAAGGACCAAACGTGTATGCCGTTCCGTATAACGCCGTCAGAGCGTCGATTCCTTTCGTACCAACTCTCTCCTGTAACAGATCTTTCATTTAAATAGGTTCCCCGTATACTTTCCAAAGTGTTTGGTGGAACTCACCATGTCTGCGTAATTATCTGGGTAGGTTTGGTTGTATCCGAAAGGCGTCTGCCACATTTGCGCGTAGCTATGAATTGTGATGAATGCCAGCAAGCTTTTATCTTGGTTCAGGCGCAAGATGTAATCCGCAACGTGTCTCGTGCATGGTTCGGAAAAGGGCTTCGGTCCGGCGTAAATTTCACTGCATTTATCGCTGCTCGCGCCGCCCTCTGTAAATATTATAGTTCATTCTCGTTAATCGCGTGTTTCCCATTTTCGACGATGAGCCACTTCGACCAATAAACCACAACCTGTTTTTGGGCCATGCGGCCGTACGAGAATAAAATTCGTCTAGGATTAAATACAGTATAATAAGACAAGAACATTAAGGTGAGAACTTGCTTACGTTCCTGGTACAGTACGTACAATAATTTCAGTTGTACATTGATTTTTTTTTATCCAGTCCGAGAGACTGTCCGAATTCAATTGTGAAGGAATTTTGAGAATCTAAATCAAGTACTCTGTTATGCTCGAATTTTTTTCATTATAATATTGTAATTTTATTCAGCAAACATTTTGTTTTGTTTATAGAATGTCCAAGATGTGTCAAAGGCGAACGTTTATAATCAAGTGAGGCATCTGATTTACAAAATTAAGTTTGTCCGCCATTTGGTGATGTGATCAATGGTCAAACGCTTTTCGCTGAGTGTCCCGTTTTAGAACTTCTGAAGATTTTTATACCCATCCAGTGGAAGTCCCAGTTTCGATTCGGATCAGCACCAATGCATCCAGAAGGGGAGTTGTGGTTCTGACGCGTCTTCCTCCAAAGTCTGTCCTGTGAGATTATCGTCCATGATTAAGATCAAATGAATTTTCCGTACTTGGTTTAAATTTCTAACATTGGTGCGCGAGTATTCGTATCCATCCGGATTGTGCACCGGAAGGAAATACCATTGGTAAGCGTCCACGATGTCTTTGTTTGCCTTGTAGTTATTCACCATTTCGTTGATGATGTAAGTGACTGTCCCTGGGGTTATCCATTCCCTAGCATGAATTCCTTTTGGTAGATTTTGATTGAGAAAAATTAATTTTGAATCTGGTTTTCAGATCATTTTCTTTTCATTAGTCGATCATATTTACCTCCATCAATCCAGAATTTAACTGGTGAGTTAGCAGTGTTGATTTTTAGAACTTTTAGATCTCTGCCCTCGTGACTTTGCCCGATGATTTCGATTTTAACGAATGTATTCGCTGCAGCTGTAAAAATTTTCTCGTGATGTATGCACAGTAGATATTTTAAATCTTCGATCATGCATGACATTTGATTGAATTGGCGGACAGCTGATCATGAGGCCGGATAATGTGATCATAATCGGCCATTCTGTTGAATTATGTCGTATGTGTATGGCAAAAATTTTCGTGTGATGCACGTATTTCTTTTCAATCTTCGATCATGCCTGACTACGTTCAGCTGTCAAAATTTGAAGACAGCTATAATCAAAAAGCCATGAAATATGGTTAGATTTCAGTAAGAGTATACTGTACAGTACATTGATTGGCATTTGATTGGCGCTGCGATTTTTTAATTTCAACAATTTTCACTACTTCAGAATGATTTGTCATTCAAATTCCAATCACTCACGTCTTGTAAGCGATGGTAAGATTTCCAATCCATGCCTCGTCCAAGCTCTGTCGTGGGTGCCTTGTTGATGATTCTTAAAAATTGCAGATTTAAAATGCTGTTACAGTACTGTATATAGAAATCAAATACTGCACCATGAATCCGTATTCATCTAATCATGAAAATATAAGACTATAATTGATCTTGTTATATCTTATCCCTCAATCGAAGAAACATATCGATGACGAATCTAAAATGTAGAGCATATCGCATTTTCCTATATTCAATATGCCAGTCGAACTTTTTCCGAAATTAGTTTCAACTACTATAGCGAAATTATTACAACGTCGAAAAAACCATTCCGCCTACATGATTAAGATACTGTATATAATTTTTATTTATTCGATTCTCATTCAGATGTGTGAAGTCTCGTCTGAATCGACTTACTTTTGTACATTGGACATGATAACTTTATGAGGTATTCCAGCCCATGAAAGCTTCGCCTTGAGGAAAATATTGTAAATTGGGGGAGACAAGATGTCGACGGATTCTCGACTTATGCCATCTTGAAGAAATACGTAGTCTGTCGCTGTTGATCGGAAATCTGCCAAATACTTGATATCCTGGTCGTTGCGAGGCTGAGCACGAATGATCGAATACCTTGATGATGGGTGGAGAAAATTTGTTGATGTGATTCATTGACGTGAATTTGAGACTTCAACTCGTCTTTGGTTAAAATTCACGCTAGCTCGAGTGTCACCTCGTCATTACTTGATTTATTCGTTAATGAAAAAAAATTGAATACAGTACAGTATTCGGGAAATTTCAAGGTCATTATACACATGAAGAGTTACATATGACACGTTCTCACCCCTTGTATGACTTCTGCTTTGCTTCCACTATCATAAAAGCTGCAGCCAGAAAGAATAACGCCTTGAAATTCCAGACTTTATTCTTGCTCACACGATGCATGATCTGAAACCCTTTCCTTTTCCGAGGAAAAATTAAATGAACCTAAAATGGACGGTTTTCCAGTATATATTAGTTTCAATGAATGGTCATTCGGTCAAAATTTGGGGAAACAAGTTGGTGTGAATACTGTGAATACAACGGGAAGAAACTTTGCATTTTTCACGCGTGGTGGTAAGCAAAGAAAAATAGCTCAATTAATTACTTTGAAAACCTGTAACCTGAATAGTTTTGAAATTTTTTAGTCTCGACATTGGTGTTTGATACCCCTACATAAATCACGTCCTATCGGTCCTTTCCGGACAAGTACACACGTACAGTACTTGACGGAGAAATTATAGTTCCAGTTCATCAGGGCTTGAAAATGTTTCTAGATCTTACGTGTGAAGAAGCACTATAAGACATTATAAAAACATGGAACACTTCGGAATTATCTTTTCAAAACATAATTTTTCTATTTGATGCAATGGTTTGCAAAATTCTTTGCAATTTACGAACACTATCTAGCACAGGTTTTGAAAATTATGCACTCCGTTTTTCGTATCGATTCGAAAAAAACTCGGAGTTCAGTCGACCTCTCAATTTTCTTCGTCTCGAAAACAACTCAGAGTTCAGGTGACGACGTCTGCCTGTAAAGTTGAATGTTTACTTATTTGCTATTGGCCATGAAAATAGTTCTAGCATGCCTTTTTCTTCACGAACTTGGCCAATAGCAAAGAAGTCAGTGCACGGTTGAATCATTGATACAAAACCGTGAAGGCAGGCATATTTTCGCCTGAACTCTGAATTGCCCTTGGAACGTAAAACATAATACAGTAGATAATATAACGATTCAATTGTAGTACCCTGACTTATTTGCTATTGGCCAGGTGAAACAAAAGGACTATCTGCAACGGCCAATAGCAAATGAGTAAGCACACAACTGTGAAGGAAAACTTCGTCGCCTGAACTAAGTTGTTTTCGAGACGAAGAAAAGTGAGGGGATGTTTTTCAGAAGTCTGCTAGTGCGCTCGTCTGTAAGTTACGTCGAATTTTGTAACAAATTTATTAATAAGTCGTAAAATTATATTTTCCCGGATAATTCAGAAGTGTTCCACGTTTTTACAATGTCTTATAGTGATTCTTCACAAATTTATAGAAGCATTTTGAAGCCCGGATGAAGTGGAACAATAAATTCTCCGTCAAGTGCAGTATGTGTACTTTTATTATAAAACCCGTGTATATCGGGGTATCAAACACCCATGTCGAGTTTCGAATTTTTTGAACTGATCAATTAAATGGTTTATGCATCGAATAATTTTTCTTTGTCTACCACGCATGAAAATCCGTGGATATACACACCGAAGATATATTCACACCAACAGTCTTTTTTATTTTGACTGAATGACGATTCATACTGAAAAAAACATAATTTAGAAAATCAATGATTATAGTTTTATCAATAAATTCGTATCTTTGACTGACGAAAAAACTGGTTCAGATCATGAAGATTGGGACGAAACAACTCCGAAATTTCAAGGTGTTATTCCTTCTGGCCGTTGCTTTCACAATGATGGAAGCAAAGCAGAAATCATACAAGGGGTGAGAACATATGTCATGTAACTCACATGGAATGCACTTGGAATTCCCAAGATTCTCGATTTGTGTTCTTTCATCAACCGGAAATTCAAATTCAATGACAATACGGGCGAAATTCATGTTATCGTTAACTTTAACCAAAACCGACTCAAATTACCCGGATCCACGACACATTGCGTGACCAGCTTGTTTTTCAATCAAGGTATTCGATTATTCGTGCTCTGCCTCGCAACGATCAGGACATCAAGTATTTGGCAGATTTCCGATCAACAACGACAGAATACGTATTTCTTCAAGATGGCATAAGTCGAGAATCCGTCGACATCTTGTCTCCGCCAATTTACAATATTTTCCTCAAGGCGAAGCTTTCATGGGCTGGAATACCTCATAAAGTTCTCATGTCCAATGTACAAAAGTAAGTCGATTCAGACGATAAAGGCATCAAAGATCTTGATACACACCGAAGAAATGTAAGATGTAGTGCATATCCCAACAAGTGAGACTAGAAATAATCTTTTCAAATATTTTATTGAAATAAGTTTAAATTTTTAAACATTCAAACTAACATAGAAAAATGGTCGTTCGAAATTTCGCATGGGAAAAAGATATGTACAGTGCATTTTATAGATTCGTCATCGTTTGTGGGCAAGGACTAGAGCAAAATCTATGACAGCCATACACAGTATTTTACAATCGAAGTATGATTATAACGAAACAGTATTTGATTTCTATACGAGCAATTGAAATCCGCAATTTTCAAGAATCATTGACAAGGCCCCCACGACAGAACCAGGAGGAACCATGGGATGGACTTCTTATCATCGTTTGCAAGACGTGAGTGATTGAAATTCGAATCAGAAATCATTCTGAAACGGAGAAATTTTTTGAAATCTCAAACAAATCCCAATGATTGAAGTATAATTGCCGAAAACTGACGTTATCGTATCGCCCAATGATTAGCTGTCCGCAAATTCAATCAAATGTCATGCATGATCGAAGATTTAAAATATCTACTGTACATAAATCACGTGAACATTTTTATGTAAGAGTATAATTTGGCGTCACAAACCAAAACAAATCACGAATATCTCGTCCTACTTTAGACCTTGAACGGTCAGTCATAAACGGGCAATTTTATTTATCCAAAAATGTATTTACAGTACCCTCCGTTTCAATTGATTGCAAGTTAGACCCGTTTAATCACAAGTACACCTGGAAAGAAAGTATTAATGATGCGTTCTTCACGACACAGATATTTGACTGGATGGATGAGCTCGCTGCAGCGAATACATTCGTTAAAATCGAAATCATCGGGCAAAGTCACGAGGGCAGAGATCTAAAAGTTCTAAAAATCAACACTGCTAACTCACCAGTTAAATTCTGGATTGATGGAGGTAAATATGTTCGACTAATGAAAAGAAAATGATCTGAAAATCAGATGATTCAAAAGAAATTTTTCTTTGACCAAAATCTACCAAAAGGAATTCATGCTAGAGAATGGATAACCCCAGCGACAGTCACTTACATCATCAACGAAATGGTGAATAACTACGAGGCAAACAAAGACATCGTGGACGCTTACCAATGGCATTTCCTTCCGGTGCACAATCCAGATGGATACGAATACTCGCACACCAATGTTAGAAATTTAAACCTAGAACGGAAAATTCATTTGATCTTAATCATGGACGATAATATCACAGGACAGACTTTGGAGGAAGACGCGTCAGAACCACAACTCCCCTTCTGGATGCATTGGTGCTGATCCGAATCGAAACTGGGACTTCCACTGGATGGGTATGAAAATTGTGGAAATTTATTCTCGAGTCACGCCTCGAAAGATATTTGAATTTTTTTTAGATTTCAGACCTAACTGTGTCCGACGAGATTGACTCGGATTCTGGGTAGCTTCCAAGTAAATAAAAAAGATTCTCTGGCTGCATTTCATTTGAAAATTTAGGTGGAAAAATCCCAGCATAATCTATATTGCTTTATTTTGGTTCTATTCGAATGTTTCGAGAATTTAAATGGGTCAGATATCATTCGGACTGAAAACTATATTATGCGTAAAACTGTAATTACTCCGAATATTAGACCATCAAGAAATCATGCGGGGTAATAATCCGAAATGTGTTTGTTTTTTTGCATCGTGTTCGTTTGTTGGGTTTTTTCCCCGTCAACGTGCTTTTTTAAGTAAAGAATTTAAATTCTTCCCCCACCTGGCTTATTGTGGTAAAAAAAAAGGGCCTAATATGATCAACGGGAATTGAACTGTTCTCAGAACCTGGTGCAAGCGGCAATAAATGCAGTGAAATTTACGCCGGACCTTCGCCTTTTTCCGAACCATGCGCGAGACTTGTTGCGGACTACATTTTACGCCTGAACCAAGACAAAAGCTTGTTGGCATTCGTCACGATTCATAGCTACTCGCAACTGTGGATGACGCCTTTCGGATACAACGAAACGTATCCTGAAAATTACGCAGATATGGTAATTACACGAGAACTCCGCAAATCATTCACTCACCATAATCAGCAATTCAAATGAGAGATTTGTTGCAGGAGAGAGTTGGAAGAAAAGGAATGGATGCTCTTACAGCATCATATGGAACAGTTTACCAGTTCGGCATCACATCAACTACAATTTGTACGTGCGTTCCTAGAGAAAATTTTGATTTAAAAAACGTCGAAATAATTTTATATTTTCTAGATATCACATCCGGTTCATCTTCGGACTGGGCTTATGGAGTCGCTAAAGTTCCCTACGTTTATGCTTTGGAACTCCGAGATACTGGAGAATTAGGATTCTTGCTTCCTGAAGATCAGATCATTCCCACAGCAAAAGAAACTTGGTTCGGCATCAAGGCCGCTGCAAAGGAAATTCTGGCTTGAAAAATAATGAGCAATAATCTCAATTCGTTTGAATAAAAGCTGATAAGAATCCGTGGTATGACACGCGTCGAGTCGCAATTATTTCTACAAACATACCATCTTAGGTTTCTGCTTAATTTTAGAAATGTGTGTTTCTTGGAACCTTGCAAATTTAGAAAACGCCTCAATAGCTTTCTCAGTCCAAAAAATTGTACACATTCTATCAAAGTATTTTTAATTTTTAAATTAAATAAAATAATAGAAGAACTTTGAAGATACTTGATGATAGTTCATAGTTTATAATCATTTGCTAAGAAAAACCCTAACCTCCTTTTCTCTTTTTCATGCATTTTGAGGAATGATGTGGTGAGTTTCCACCAAAAGCAGGTCCCTCTGGCACCCACTTTTATACATTCTGTATATGTCGCTCGTTTTTCTTGTGTGTGTGTGATTACAATTTTTCAAATACGAAAAACCAATATACAGTATTTAAAATTGAATGTTTTGGGGATCGTAAAAGCTGAATCAAAATTAGAATTTTAGAAGATCACAGGCTCTAGAAAGTACTGCTCTGTGATTGTCATTGTCAAAAGATTCTTATAAGTTGAATCATACCTGAGAGAACTTTAAACCACAAACATGGATACTGAGCATTTAATAATTCTATAATTTTCTATTCAAAAATTTTATCAGATTTTCTTAATGAGATCTAGTGCGTGAATCAAAATTATTAATTTTGTGAAAATTACTCATTTTTTTGAACAGAACACATGAAATTATTTTCTGCATACATGAGTATTGTGAATGCTGTTTCTCAATTTTCAACCTGACCATTTCGATATGATTGTTGGCAAAATCAGAGAAAAAATTCGCTACCACCGTCATTCAAAGAAACATGACCGCCACCATTCTCCAATAAACATTTTACAGTACATTATCTCAATAATGTACCAAGAAATGAATTAAGGTCAGTATACTGTACATTGTCGGTGTGAGGAGGGTAATCAGTGGGCTAACCTCACACGTTTGCCAAGCTACAAGCAGGTTACAAGGCACCCGTTTGAATATTTGAGAAATGTTGAAGTTGCTAGAAAAATGCTTTTAATAGTAGTATTTCCCAACCCATGGTCCGCAGCAGAAGCTTTTGGCCAGTCTGCGGGAAATTTTCTTCAGCATGATTAATTCATCAAAGGAGCAATGAAGGCTGTTATCTTTATATGACACTTTGGAGAGACAATTGCAGTTGAACTTATCTAATGAAAAATAAAAGTTGCCTTTTCCCCCAATAACAAGACAGAAAAATTTTAAACAGCTGCAATAAATTATTATAAATCTTTTGAGAAACCTTTCAATAAGCAAACCTTTCTAATTTTTTGAAGACATTCCCCTACAGCTGGTTCATTGGTTCATAAGTTGTTTTTTTTTCTGAAAACCCCAAAACTTTTTAAATATCTGTATAATGAAGTTTTCAAGCAAAACTTTTTTGAGTCTCAAAAAACTTATAAAACTTTGTGAATCAAGTGATCCCTTCATTGATTAAAAAGCTGAAAACAATATTCAAGTATCCGTCTTCGTCATGGAAAGTGTCACATACGGTACTTAATTTAATTATCCGTAGAAATCCTTGAACGGAGAAAAACCTGGAATACTTTGTGGACTTTTGGAGTAGATTTTGTGCAGGACAAAATGTTTGAAGAAAATTTTACGGCTGCATCGATCCGATTCGGAATGAAGTAACACTGTTTCTTTCAGCTTCTATATTAAAGTATTGAACATAACGGCTAATTTTTCAAGCCAGAATTTCATTCGCAGCAGCCTTGATGCCAGCCCATGTTTCCTTTCCAGTGGGAACGATTTGCTCTTCAGGAAGCAAGAATCCAAATTTTCCAGTATCTCGGATTTCCAAAGTATACACGTAGGGAACTTTAGCGGCTCCCAGAGCCCAGTCGTCAGATGGACCCGAGTTGATATCTACAGAACGAGGAGGAAAACGAATTGTTGAAGCTGAGTCAAAAAATTATTTTTGAATGCACTCACTGAGTACGATAGCTGAAGGTCCGAACTTGTACTTGGTTCCGTATAACGCCGCGAGAGCATCCATTCCTTTTTTACCCACTCGCTCCTGAAACAATAAGTCTCTCAATCAAACCGGTTATTTTCATACTTTCCAGAATGTTCGTCGAAATCACCAAATCGGCGTAATTGTCCGGGTAGATGTAGTCGTATCCGAAAGGCGTCAGCCACATTTGTGAGTAGTTGTGAATTGTGAAGAATGCTAACAAACTTCCGTCGGCATTCAGTCCCAAGATGTATTCAGATACGAGTCTGGTGCATGGTTCGGAAAATGGCTCGGGTCCGGCGTAAATTTCGCTGCATTTATCACCGCTTGCACCGCCCTCTATGAAAAATTCAATTTTTAAATTTCCTAATATGGCGTCTACTTTAGATTGAAAGACCGTAGTCACTCGATGTTGTGGCGGAAAAAAAAACCTCGAACAAAACAGAATCAATAGAAATTTCTAGTCTGGTAAAAAAAATGTTTATTTCCCGTTTCTCTTTCTTCAGGTCATTCAACTAATGCGTCATTGTGTGATGAACTTATGTATCATGTTCAATCTTTGTAACGTTCAAATGATCACGTTTCAATAGCATAAATATATATTATTTATACTTTCAAAAACCACATTTTTCCTCCCTTAATTTTAAAATGTTTTCCTGGATTCGAGGTCCACGGCTCAATCGGATGAGGCACATGATCACTTTGGATTTATACTGTCAGCGCTTAGGCAAGCTTAAAAATTGCTGAATTTTGAAACATATATATATCTTATTGTATCTTATACTTGTATCTTATTGAATGGTCCTCAGGAAAAACTTTAAAACAAAGATTTTCATACCCATCCAGTGGAAATCCCAGTTACGATTCGGATCAGCACCGATGCATCCAAAAGGGGAGCCGTGGTCTTGACGCGTCCCTCTCCAAAACCTGTCCTGTGAGATTAATGTTCAAGATTGAAATCAAGTAAATTGTTGGCGTGTTTCGGTCATAATTTCTCACATCCGTGTGTGAGTATTCGTAACCATCGGGATTGTGCACAGGAAGGATATACCACTGGTATGCGTCCACAATGTCCTTGTTCGCCTGGTAGTTATTCACCATTTCATTGATGATGTACGTGACTGTTGCTGGTGTTATCCATTCTCTGCCGTGAAGGCCTTGACATTTTTTCGTGAATTTTTTACATATAGATATGGGTTTTAGATAATTCCGTCCTGATCATCAAATGTATACCTCCATCGATCCAGAATTTAACCGGTGAGTTAGCAGTGTTGATTTTCAAGACTTTTAGATCTCTGCCCTCGTAACTCTGCCCAATGATTTCAGTTTCAACGAAGTCATTCGCTGCAGCGAGCTCATCCATCCAGTCGTGAATCTGTGTTTTGAAGAAAAGTAGAACTCGGACGATTATATCCAGACTTTGATTAACGTTGTATTTCATTAAATGTGTTAAAATATCTATTCATTGAAGGAAGAAAGGGTCTGTATGTATTACTATAAAATAAAATTCAATTCGAAGTACTGTAGTGTACTGTAAATACGCTTGATCAAATCGTATATTGGCGACTGGAATGAAGCAGATCAGTCGAGATTTGAGGGAACATCTTTGAATCATATTGGATAATTAATTTAGTAATCCTTTTTTTCGTTGGTTATTGAAGAAAATATTTTCCGATCTTTTGATACTACACTTGACCCTGAAACAATCGACGTCATCATAGGCATAATTATCGACGTTATGTTATTATAGACGTTATTATGGACAAAGACAAGCGAGGTTATTATAGGCAGGGATATTTTGGGTTCTTTATCGAAAATCTCAGGTTCAGATTCAGATTTTCATGCAGACCGAATGACTTATGATTATATAATCGTGATCTTACGTCTTGCAGCCGATGGTAGGATTCCCATTCCATTGCTCGTCCTGGTTCTTGCGTAGGCGTCATATTGATGATTCTTGGAAAGCGAGAGTTTCAATTTCTCGCTCGCAAATATAGTAAAGGGAATCCATTTTGATTTAAATATGTGCGACATTCGTTTTGAGGGCTGTCTTCAATGTTTAACAATGAGTAAAAGATGTTATCAATTCTGGTAGGAGTACTGATGCACATCCCGGTTTTTTTTTTTAAAGTCAGGATGTGATAATGTAAATTACATCTTATTTATAAATACAGTAAATTCGTCACTTATTCCTTCGATCCAAATTTAGATCAGATGATTCGCATGAATGGTCCTACTTTTTTCTAGTTTTATTGCAATGTAAAGTAAAAGCAGTGTTATTCATTTATTTTTTATTCAAATTGGAAACGGAACTTCTTCATGAATTGACTCACTTCTGAACATCGGGCATGAGGATTTCATAAGGCATGCCAGTCCAAAGGAGCCTCGATTTGAGCAAATGATCAAACATAGGGGGAGACAAGATGTCGACGAAATCCCGTTTTATGCCATCGTTGAGAAATTCGTAGTTGGTTGTCTTCGAGCGGAAATCTGCCAAGTACTCGAAGTCCTTGTCGTTGCGAGGCTGCACACGAATGATCGAATACCTTGGGTTAGAAAACGTAAAGTAGTGCGATTTGACGGGAATGCGGAAGTTGAATCAGTACGAGTTCGTCAAGCGCAGCACTTCTGATTGATCCATTATTGTCAACTTATTTACTATAATAATTAAAAAGCATTTGATATTACACTCACCCTTCGTATGACTTCTGTTTGGCTTCTGTGATCGCGAAAGCTGCAACCAGAAGGAAGAACGCGGGGAATTTCCCAAATTGCTTCTTGCGCTTCATGATCACCAAAGCGATATTTCTCCTGATTCAACAAGTCCCAAATAACGCAATAAAATTGCTGAAAATGATGAATGGTTCGCCTGACTCAAGATATAAATTTGATTGAGTCTCTCTTCGGAAAACGCCAGCAATTATTCGTGCTATTCGGATGCGAGGTCGTGACATTGAGTGTTTGAATTCAAAAGGAACCCCCCTTTGAATTTAATGTCAAGCTGTAATGACACACCGGGAGATTTCTTCTATCGATTGCACCGTAGGAAGAAAATGTTGAAATGAAACTGCATTCGCTTTGTGTAAAAAAAAAAATTAGCCGTGAGCTGCAGATAACCTGACGACGTGGCGCAAAATATTCGACTCCTGACGCTCTGTCGCAGAATCTTGCGACTTTGTTTTTTTCTTTTGCGCGTATCGCCGGCAAAGTTAGCACCACGTGAGCTTTTAAAAATACTTGACAGTCATTCAGTCGAATGCAAGCTTCAACGAAAAGCTGTTCGGCGGGGAAACTAATTTCAATGCAGTCACGGGAACACCTAAGAAGTCACTGGAATTTCGAAAAAAAAAAGTGATTCTAAATATTTAAATTTCACTTGACTTTTTTTTGAAAATGAAGCTCAATGAAAACATTTTAACCAACGTTATTATTTATTATACTATGAGGTATGAGCTTTAATGGCCAGGCCTGTTTTCAAGGTCTAATCGAAATACTGTATCCGAATTCTTGAATGAATGAATGAACAGAATGTTTCATCTTCTGCTTTTCAGCATTCACAAAGTTCAATCAAGATTTTCACATCCAAACCCCCTCCCACCCAACCCAAATCCATTCAAAGACATTCAATCACTTCAGATTGAGCAGGAAACAGAGAAATTAGATGCAAATGGATAACAAAAATAAAAGAAAATACATTCCACAAAATACAATTGCACAACTGATATGTATGCATGCACCCTTCCTTCCCTGACATTGAAAACAAAATATCAGTAACAATAATCGCAGCATAAGCCAGTATTGAAGCAATTCCAGCAGTTAATGAACCCAATTTAAAGCACAAGGTCTTGAGCTTGTTTTTGTGTAATTCCTGTTTTTGTGCGATTCTGGTCTTTCATCAATTACAGCGCTTGAGAAGCTTCACTGTTTAGTTATTATTTTTTTCTAATTCTTGCAAACTTTGACAAAGTGTCACGGAATGAATACCATAAAAAAAAATAAAAAGAGGTCAACATGCAGCACCGTTGTGGGGAAGGGACATCAGTGGGTTCACCTCAGCACACGTTTGGCAGGGTTTTCCTGTACGGAATATAAATCCGCACACCCCTTTGCGTATTTGAGAAATGTAAGTTGGCTGGAAAAAGGTTTCTATAGTCCAGAGAAACTCCTGAAAAATGCAAGGCGAATATTTTTTGGAGAAATGGCCTGCAAGAAAGCCGATTTGGGGGGCTGGACCAAACACTTCGGAATCATCGAATTAAATTATAAATTGTTTTAAAAAATTAAACGATGCTGTATATTTGTGCTGAGTTGAGATTGGAAATGCATAAAATAAATCCTAGGAACTCGTTCTGGTTCAGTCGCAAAATATCAATCCTTTTAACTGGGATTCTTCAAATATTCAACAGGAGATTGTGTTCAAAATGATTATTTTCCCAATTCCTTTCTGAATACTACAGCAGTATATAATGATGATTTTTTTGCTAAGAATAACAGCTCAAACTGAGAATGACATAATGTCTCCGATTCATTTTGAACATTGAATATCTAAAGCCAAAAAAGACCATTTTGAGGTAATTTTTCAAAGTTCACTTTAAATCATTCCCGAAGCAGTATATTTCAAAATTAAAATGGTACCATCGAAGTTTGTTGAGAAGGCCTACGTCGATTCTTTTCATGAATATTCACTGTAAATGGATTTCTCCTAAGGAAAATGGATTGAGTTTAATCGATTATTTCAAAGTCTTATGTTCAAACATTTTTTGTTCTTACGCATAAACATTCGATGACGAGTTGAATTCAGTTCTTCGCAGCATAATTTAATACGTGAGCTTCAGCAAATTATTCATAGTATCCGGCCAGTTCGTTCAAAAGCTTGTCTTAAAATAACATTTAATTAAAATTGCAGTGCTCTGAAAAACCTTCATTGAATATTTTGTAGGTTGCCATTTTTGTGTGTACAGTATCTACATTTTCCGCGTCATTCAGTGAAGATCAGTTTTGCATTCATGTTTCTGCCAGCTCTGGTGAGGTCCAAAAATTTGAATTGATATTTCATCTTGAACGCTGTGGACTTCAGTCGTCAAGAGTGCAATTTCGCACAAATTACATGAAAGTATATTTTTGTTTAGATTTTTGAGAGAATGTTGACATTGCCTTCCATTCTCTGCCGCCTCATCCATGTTGTGATTGAGAAATCAAATGATTCCTTGATTTTTCCGAAGATCGGAAAACAATATTTATTATTTTATTTGTATTGTAATTAAAAGTCTCACATACGGTACTTGATTTAATTAAGCGTAGAAAAGCTGTTGATAATTTGTCGACGCTATAAATGGATTTTTTGAAGTCCAAAATGTCTGGAAAAGTGCCACTTCTGGATTAATTCGTTTCAGAAATGAAGTAACACTTGGTCGTCCGTTACTTCTTTTCAGCTTTTTTATTAAATGTTCAAGTTGAACTCCTAAATTTTTCAAGCCAGAATTTCAGCTGCAGCGGCCTTGATTCCAGCCCACGTTTCCTCTCCTGTGGGAATGATCTGTTCTTCTGGAAGCAAGAATCCGAATTCTCCCGTATCTCGGAGTTCCAGAGTGTACACGAAGGGAACTTGAGCGGCTCCAAGAGCCCAGTCGTCAGATGGACCCGAGTTGATATCTGCAGAACGAGGAGGAAAACGAATTTTTGGAATTTCAATCAATTTGAGTTTTTCTAATGCACGTACAGATTACGATTGCTGAGGGCCCAAACACGTATGAAGTTCCGTATAATGCCGCGAGAGCGTCCATTCCTTTTTGACCCACTCGCTCCTGAAACAATAATTCTCTCAATCAAACCGGTTCTTTTCATACTTTCCAGAATGTTCGTCGAAATCACCAAATCGGCGTAATTGTCTGGGTAGATATAGTCGTATCCGAAAGGCGTCAGCCACATTTGTGAGTAGTTGTGAATTGTGAAGAATGCCAACAAACTTCCGTCGGCATTCAGTCCCAAGATGTATTCAGATACGATTCTGGTGCATGGTTCGGAAAATGGCTCAGGTCCGGCGTAAATTTCGCTGCATTTATCACCGCTTGCACCGCCCTCTATGAAAGGTTCATTTTTAAAATTTCTCAGCATGGCGTTTACTTTAGATTGAAAGACCGTAGTCGCTCGATGTTGTGGCGGAAAAAATAAAATAAAATAAAAGTAGAGGCGGGGGGACGATTGAATCTGGGAAAACAGATTTAACAGAATTTCTGGCCTGGGACAAAAACTTTGCAGCTTCCCTGTTGCTCTTTCTATACGATTGAACGGATAAGTTTCAATGTTTTTCATCATTCGAATGATCACGTTTCAATGACAAAAACAGACATTTTTATGCTTTCATCAGCGACATATTTCCTCCCTTAATTCTAAAACGTCTGTCTTAAATCAAGGTGCACAGCTATAAATTGGATGCGGCACGGTGATGTTTTAGATTTATCTTGCCAGACCTTTGGTCAGGGTACAAATCTGCAGAGAAAATTTTCAAAGATTTTCATACCCATCCAGTGGAAATCCCAGTTTCGATTCGGATCGGCACCGATACATCCAAAAGAGGAGCCGTGATCTTGACGTGTCCCTCTCCAAAATCTGTCCTGTGAAATTAATGTCGAAGATTGAAATCAAGTAAATTGTTGACGTGTTTCGGTCATAATTTCTCACATCCGTGTGTGAGTATTCGTATCCATCGGGATTGTGCACAGGAAGGATATACCACTGGTATGCGTCCACAATGTCCTTGTTCGCCTCGTAGTTATTCACCATTTCATTGATGATGTACGTGACTGTTGCTGGTGTTATCCATTCTCTGGCGTGAAGGCCTTGACAATTTTTCGTGAATTTTGTGCACATAAATATGGTTTGCGGATAACTATTTTCCTGGTCATCAAATGTATACCTCCATCGATCCAGAATTTAACCGGTGAGTTAGCAGTGTTGATTTTCAAGACTTTTAGATCTCTGCCCTCGTAACTCTGCCCAATGATTTCAGTTTCAACGAAGTCATTTGCTGCAGCGAGCTCATCCATCCAGTCGTGAATCTGTGTTTTGAAAAAAAAGTAGAACTCAGACGATTATCCAGACTTTGATTAACGTTGTATTCCATTAAATGTGCCAAAATAGTTATTCATTGAAGCAAGAGGGGACTGTAAGTCGCACTATAAAATAAAATTCAATACGAAGTACAGTAAAAACGTTTGGTAAGAGTTTACTGTATGTTGGCGACTGGAATAAAGCAGATTAGTCGAGATTTGCGGGAACATCTTTGAATTATTTTGGATAATTAGTTTAGTGATCATTTTGTCGGTTATTAGTTTTTTTTAAATTTATGATCCTGCACTTGACGTTTAGACATGGAATAAGGTACGCGACTTTTAGCGCCGTTTTGTGTGTGTGGTTCTTTATCGAAAATCATCAGCAACTAACATTCACAGTTTCACAATTGTTACAAATTTTCACAAATTTCTGGAAGATCAAATGGCTAGTAATTCTATAATCATGATCTTACGTCTTGCAGGCGATGGTAGGATTCCCATTCCATTGCTCGTCCTGGTTCTTGCGTAGGGGTCATGTTGATGATTCTTGGAAAGCGAGAGTTTCAATATCTCGCACGTAAATACGGTAAAGGGAGTCCGTTTCAAGTATACAATTTAGTACGACATTCTTTTTAAAGTCATTCTTTCATGTATCAGGTGAATCAAAAACGCCATAGATCTTGGTAGGTGTACTGACTTGCGTCCCCACTTTTTTTGCTAGTAAAATTTCGTAACGTAAATTGCGTCTTATTTTTTAGGGAATTCGCCTCTAACTTGCATGATTCATCGATGAGATCAGATGATTCGCATGAATCATTAAAGACTCCTTTTTTCGTTTCGTTCCACTTGGGAAATAGAGGCAATGTTTATTTTTGAATCAAAATTTGAATACATCATCAACGTTTTCAGGAATCGACTCACTTTTGAACATCGGGCATGAGGATTTCATAAGGCATGCCAGTCCAAAAGAGCCTCGCTTTGAGCAAATAATCGAACATCGGGGGAGACAAGATGTCGACGAAATCCCGCCTTATGCCATCATTGAGAAATTCGTAGGTGGTTGTCTTTGAGCGGAAATCTGCCAAGTACTCGAGGTCCTTGTCGTTGCGAGGCAGCACGCGAATGATCGAATACCTTGGGTTAAAAAAATGTAAAGTAGTGCGATTTGACGGGAATGCGGAAGTTTAATCAGTACGAGTTCGTCAAGCGCAGCACTTGATTGATCCATTATTGTCAACTTATTTACTATAATAATTAAAAAGCATTTGATATTACACTCACCCTTCGTATGACTTCTGCTTTGCTTCTGTGATCGCGAAAGCTGCAACCAGAAGGAAGAACGCGGTGAGATTTCCGACTTGCTTCTGGCGCTTCATGATCAAAAACGCGATATTCTCCTGATAGAGAAAGAACCAAAGAACGCAGTAAAATTACTAAAACATTATAAATGATTCGTCTGACTCGAGACATCAGTTTCAATGAGTTTCCCGTCGAATGAAAACGGTAGCAATTAGTCGTGTTACGTTATTCGTAGGCGAGGTCAAGACTTGAGTGTTGGCATTCTCAGGGACTCCCTTTGAATTTTATTTCAAGATAACAGGACGGGACATTTCTTTTATCAAGTGCACAGTAGGAAGAAATTTGTGAAATGACGCTGCATTCGTTTTGTCCAAGAAAATTACCCGTGAGTTGCAGATACCCTGACGACGTGGCGCAAAATATTCAACACCTGACGTTCTGTCGCATAATTTTGCGGGTTGTCCTTTTTTTTTCAGCGCATATCGCCGGCGTATTTAGCACCACGTGAGCTTTTAAAAATGCTTGTTAATCATTCAGTTGAATTCAAGCTTCAACAAAAGGCTGTCCGACGGGGAAACTGATTTCAATGCAGTCATGGGAATAACCAAAAAGCTGCTGGAATATCTAAAAAATATACATTTTGGCTCTAAATTTGCATCGTCTTTCCTGTAAGAAAAATGAATCGCAATTGAGATACGTTTTTTAAACCAACTTCATCGCTTATTTTGCCTCAAATTTTAATAACCAAACCTGTTTTCAAGGTCAAATCGAAATAATGTATCCGAGTTATTGTTTTTATGGTTTCTGGGCTTCGTCAATTACAGGGCTTGAGAAACTTTACTGTTTAATTATTATTTTTTTCTAATTGAAGTGAACTTTGAAAAATTGGCACGGACTATTCCACCGCTTCCGGTTAATCCGAACATTTATGAATAAAATTTTCCTGGTCTCCATGATGCTTAAAAAAAATCGATGTATTGTTAGACTTCGATGCAGGGCCACAACGTCAAAGTCTGTGAACAGGGACAAAAACTGGGCAATACATATATGCAAGTTAAATTTAAATGTCACAAGAAAATTCATGTGAAAGTTGAATGGAAGTATATGGATAAGAAAAATACCAAAATATCAGGAATAAATAATGTGAGAAATGATGAGTAGCGTGAGAAAGGAATTTGAACTTGACAATTGCATATGGGCTTCAACGAAACGTAATTTTCTTCTAAATTTGCAGCTATAGGTGAGTATTATCATGTTGCATTTATTTTATCCCTGAGAATTTCTATGTTATTCACGATTATCCTTGATACATCTTTTTCATTTCGCTGGGGACGAGAGACATCCTAAATGTAGTTAGCCTCCTAGATGTTCTTTTTTTTGTGCGTCACAGCGCAGTAGCAGATTATTGGGGTAAAAGTATTTCGACATTTGATTTAGAACCACCTTTTTTGTTTTCATTCCTTGGTTTCATGTTCGAGGATGGCTTCATTTTTTTTCGGCGGATGTTCGTCGGGACTCGCACGAAAAACGATGCGTCTCTCACGCAATGCTGAGGAAATCACGAGAAACTACGAAAGGTGTGCTCGTGGATAATCAAGGTGAGCAAAAAGGCAACTCCTTCACCCTTTCTTCCCATTTATATGTACATGCTTTTACCTGTTGCAATCCGGAATATATTTATATATCTTTTTTTTTTTGAAGGAACGAAACGTGACCGATGGCAACTCAGTAAAGTGCGATCCATCACGTCGCGTCCTGCAATTCCCTTTGCATTGATACGACTTCAGTGCATGAATCACCGCTTTGGTCGTGTACAGTATAATGTGGAAAGAATGAAGTGTAAATTTTCCACGGAAGTTGCGGAATTTCGGTGGTTTGAAATGGGTATCATTTTGTTTAAAGTTCGTATCCGCTTTTTTTTTGGTCATAATTTTGATCGATGACGTTCGCTTTCATTGTCGAGAGCGAGCTCAAAGAGGTCATTGGAAAGGATGCGTATGAGATGGAAGGTGTATTGTTCATCTAATTTCACAAAGGAAGCATTTTGAATGAATCAAAATGCTCCCTTGTGATAAAATCGGTGATAAATCAGCCGATTTTATTAACACGTTTTTATTAACTCGCTTTCTTGTCCGTTTGTTTGTCCAGATCAAATTTTGCAACTCAAAATTCGCTCACTTCCCGACTAGCTAGCAAGCTGAATAAATAGATGCGCACCACGTTTAAGGTTATTTTTTCCTTTTTCAAAACCTGGTTTTTTAGATTAATTTTTTAATCTACTAAATTTTTTACAGCATGCATCTAAGAAATCAAAGGCATAATTTTGTCTGTTATTTTGCACAGCTGGTGTCAGTCATAATATCAAACATGAAAACAGGTTTCATTGAAATCCCATTAAAGTTACTGACTGTTTTTGAAGTCTAACTGATGTATCTCAAAAATGATTATGCAGTAGCTGACAAAATTTGAAACTTAGTGACCTACCAGAAAAAAAAATTGTCAACGCATATCTGCAACAGAATTCAAGTGTATATATGAGGTGTGAGGCCATCGATAAGGAAATTGTTGGCGTACTTTTGGAAGTTTGATATACATTACATTTTTTGAACCACCTCGTATCGAATACAATGTACAATATTGTATTCTAACAACTCTGACTTAACTTCTTGATCATAGCCTTCTTGCGCATTTTCTCATGCTGTTTCCTGTGGTTAAGTTCCGAATTTTTCTAGCTTCAACTGAAAAGTGCTTTAAATGCCGAGAATATCGGATATTTACAGTAAATTTTACTTCATTCATGACTGCATATTGCAATATAGTACCGCGTCCGGTTCAGTATTGTTTGTCTTTAAAACAAACAAAGAATTTGTTTGCGTTTCGAAGTATGCGTTTCGAAGTATTGAATGCGTTTCGAAGTATGAAATAGGGATAAGTTTCTGGTGCAACGAAGTTTCCATCAAAATGAAGCATGGATCATGAGTTAAAATATGAAGAAAGCAATACGGCATTCAACAACTGCTCGGTTAAAAGAATCAAAGATAAAAAAGAGAAAAATTAAAGAGAATTAAATTGATGATCGATTAAAAAGAAGAAAAAAAAGTATGCAGCTATAATTGTTATTTCATTCGCCGTTTATTCTTGAGGTGAATAGGGTCCAAAAACATTGATAAATTGCGTAGTTTTGCAATCTCTTCATCTCTTCGTGGGTATTGAAATCGGTTAATCTGCGTCAGTCGATTTGTGGTTCGTTGGCTGGCGAAACTTTAAAGTAAGGCTTGAGGGTCTTAATTAATGCATTCTCCTAATAAGGCTCATCATCATCGATTCCCGTACGTACTTCGCTGACCTTTTGACAGCAAAGATCCCCTCCGAAGTATGCTTTTATGAGCGCGATCGAGGCTCACCCTTGGGTTCGAGTAATGGATTCCAAGTTACAATCATGAAATAACAGGGCGAAGCAAGTGCAGGGCCATGTTTACCCCTACGGCTTATCTCGGTCATTGATCGATCATGAGCGAAGGCTTTAAACACTTGACCAGCAAGAAGCTTCCTTTGTAATCGAACCTGTATAGTCAACTAACTGGTTCTCTTTGTTCCGAATGTCTTTTGCACACCGAGATTGCTGTACTGTTTGAGCCACCCTTTCGAATTCCTGGCCAATTTAATGGAAAGGCCATTATTGAACAACTGTTTTCGGGCTTTTGGACCGACGTACTTATGAATGAAGTTGATCAGGTTAGTTTTGGGATGTGTTCGTTCAGATTTAGCTTGTCTTCAGTAGACAAACTACTGGTTTTGGAGCCAGCCCTGCTTATTGATTGCCGTTCATTTTTTGGAATTGTATTGAAAGATTCTAGGATCGTTTTTACGGATTTTATGTTTGTTTGAAAACAGTTTCTCTTCTGCAGGATTGTTAATTGTCGTTTATGAAATATTTTGAAAAGCTGCTATTGTATTTTGAAAAGCTGATATTGTATTTTGAAAAGCTGCTATTGTATTTTGAAAAGCTGCTATTGTATTTTGAAAAGCTGCTATTGTATTTTGAAAAGCTGTTGAAGCATCTCAGATTTTATTCTGATCTTATATAGTTCGCCATATCTACCTTTCACTTCGTAGTCAATTCGGAAATAATCAGGCAATAAAACGTAAGCTTACTTTTTTTGGAAATACTGTATCTACATGTGATTTGGTTTCGTTTTTTAAATGCTCGGTGCTTGGATATCAATGAAAGTTCGAAATTCTTTTTTCGAACAGAAAAATAACTCATTATGCGGGATCGCCGACAGATGGCTCGCTATTCTCGTCTTTTGTGTGCGACTTGGCAATTTCTGTAAATCGAAATTTTATATCTTAGAAAATTGTCTTGTTATAACGTAGTGATGCAAGTCATCCTACTTGAAGCTCTTTTCATGCTAACCATTTGCGTGAGGCTTGATTAAATTGAATCAAATCTGGGTAGAAATCATATGCAGTACAGAGGTCGCAATGTTGCGAAATTTGAAAAAATAGAAGAATGAGGTCAAGGTTAAGGCGCTTCTTCGGAGACCCTGGTTGCCCCCAAGCTTTTTTGTTGTTGCATGAAATGAACAAATCTGTCGAGAGAACGGTAATTTTTGTGCACACGATCTAAACGTGTATGTTTTAATTTTTTTATAACATTGTTACATTATTCTTATTTTCTTATTCATTTATATTTATATGTACTGTATTCATAGCCTCTCATTAAATATAAAGATGTATTTTAATCAAGTAAACTAGAAATCAAGGGAACGACTTCTATTTCGTTCTTACTGACGGGCCTCGAAATTTTTTCTCGGGCGTCCACCGAAAATTTCTAATTTTTACTCTGTACTTCGGATTTCCCTGTCAATTCTTGCGTTTTGCGTTCTTCAAAGAATGGATAAATTATTCTATTAAACGGGAGAAAAAGAAAAGAGAAAGCGTTTCCTTGTCGATGATTTTGACGGGCCCTCTCAAAATCTACACCCTCGAATTTTTCCATGATTTTTCCCCATCACACGTCAGTGCAAGTTACTTTCGCATCGTTCCCACAAAGCCAAGTGCTCCGTCTTGAACTCATCGAAAATTCACATGGGGGGAAAAATCCGACAGGAAATCCCGATTGCGCCTTGTCCTGCCTTCATTGTTGCACTGCACTGTATAATTTCTAAAAAAAAATTATTTCTACGCTTTAGCTCAGGATCGTCATTACCGGACCTGAGACTTCGTTGGGTTTCAGGGTCAACCCGGAGGGACTTTTGTACAATGAAGCCCAGAGTGTTTCATCGGAAATCGAGGGGGCAAACCCTCGGGGTCAGAGGAACCACGCGAGAGTCGTTATTTTGCTGATGCGTTTTTTTTTCTCGCGATTATTGGGGAATAATGAAACAAAGCTTGGGCTATAATTACCAGGAGCTCAACAAGTGTGAAACAAATCTTGATGCGAGGAAAATGATCAGAGGAGTCCCGCGATTAGCATTGAATTCCGTTTTCCGGGATCTTTTTTTTTTCTCATGTCTAGGTGTTGTTTTTCAGTTATGCTTCGTCAAGCTCGGTCAAGTTCGAGGGTTGGCTCGTAAATACTGTCAGACTTGTGCTTCCATTGTTGAAGTATTGATGGATGAAGATAGATTGACACAAATGTCTCTGAAAAATACATAATATATTGTTTTCCGGTTTGTAATTCAAATTTTTGCTCATCCAGATTTAAACGAGCAGAAGACGAAGCGTTGGAATGCGAAGCAAAAAAAAATATAAGGTTTGCTCGCTATAAATTCATATGAGTGCTATGGATTTTCCGACCATTAAATTCCCACAAATTATTTCAGATAATGCAAAAAAATGTGGATCTGAGAAGCCACATTTCATTGAAGAAAAAACTTTTTGCTTTTGGCAACTTCAGCGTTTGTGACGCTGAAAGGGAAGATTGCCTTAAAAAAAGCAAAAAATTAGCAAGAATCCAGTTTTCAGAGGCACGGTTGTGATTTTATGAAAATTCTCATCAAATAGGATTTCGGTTTCGATTTCACGTTGGTTTGGAAGACTTTGACTTGGGTTTCCCACAGAAATTCTGTTTTCGAAGTACCCACGAAATTGTTGAACCATCCCTCGTATTTCATAACGAGCTTGCTCTTGAAATACGAACCACGTTTGCCCGTGAAGACGAAGCCGGATTTTTTTTTTCTCGCATACGTGCACTTTATATGCGAAGAAATGAAGGCGTGGAAGGGTCGTAAAAATCCCACGGACCAGCTAAAGTTCATTGGCGTCCGTGACGCTGCATTTTTAATTACCACCGGGTGGAGATTCCCCGCGAGCTGCAGCTTCTCTTCGTGCAAACGAATTCAAATTTCTGTTTTCTTGTGAAAAAATGAAATTTTATTCTCTTTGCTGGCGGAATTGTGTAGATGAGCGCAGGAAGCGCGAAACGAGCAGAGAATACCCAGGTCCGGGAAATGCCCCACGGGCGTCTTCTCTGGCGTGAAATACCTGAGAGTCCCGGCGGCCGGGGAAGAAAAATCGTGAGAAAAACTGGGCAACCAGCCCCAGGTTAGTGACTTCTTTCCCGTCAAGTTTGCTCAGCATGCTCAACAACTTTTCATCATTTTATTTTCCATCTCTCCAGACTTGTTTGCGGTGTGAGCGAATTTTTCTTTGTTCCATCCCGACACCAGACAGGAGCCGAAATAATCCGCGAGTTCGTCTTGGAAGTGGAAAATGAAATAAAATGCGACGAAAGTTGGTTGATGGGTAAGTACTGCACAAAGAAGAGGTGAACCTTTGATACTGCACACTGGTGAGGCATTCATCCAAAATCCCAGTATCTGCTTGTCCAATTGTCAGCATCCTGTTTTCACGTCAAAGCTGTAGCACAGGGGTGCCCAAGATACAGCCCGTGGGCCAGATCTGACCAGATCTGGCCCGAGGAGGCTCTTCTTCTGACCCGCAGAGCCAACATGAAAAATCACCACCCAAAAATCGAAAGCCTTAAACGTAAAAATTGTAAGATTTTCCACACGTATCCAGTCAGCAATTTTTATGAGGAATTTTATTAGAGCTTCACAAAATTTTGAGATGCTTCCTCCTAACAAGTGAGACCAGAAGAACAATATGTAAATATATGTGGTGTCAATGTTTCTGCTTTTCAGAATGATAAGGCAAGCTTTATTTTTTTTATCTCGAATTAAATCTTACTCCAGCATTTTCTGTTTTTTTATTTTTATTTAATTGCTTACCTTGATAGGAGAAAGATACGCAGGAGCTCAATTCTCAAATGACATGAAAAAAGTAGATCATCATGTAAAAATGCAAATGTGAGCTTAACTGGCTCTACATTTAACAGAAACTTCATGAAACATTTTGCACACCTTGAAGCAATGTCTGGCACAAATCCTGGTTTTGGCTATCCCCAAAAGGTCATGGAACATTTCATGTGTTGTAAATTATGCCAATTCATATTTATAATTCCAGAAACAAAAATTCAGTCATGTTGCAATGCAGACACAAGTTGAACAACAGTAGTAAAAATGCAGCAAAAAGGTTTGTAGATGAAAAATCCATTCATTGACAATCCTGAATTCCTTGAACTTGATGATAGACAAATAAAATGGTTTCAACCATCACAAAAATGCATTAATACCATAATGAACAAAATTTGATTTTTTCATTGCTGTGGCCCGCATAAAGCTCTACGGTTTCTATTTGGCCCTTGGCCACTTCTAAGTTAGGCATTTCTGGATAGCATCTTAAACCCTTTTTTTAATGTATAAAAAGTGAGATTACATCAGATATTTGACGGCATATTAATTGTAATGTTGTCTTACATTGAAGGATTTCCAACGTTTTTGGAATCTTGGAATCCCAGGAGCATTGCATGATTGGTTGTGACCAACGCGATTTTTAAAACAAGCATGAATTATATAATTAAATTTATAGAAATCTTAAAAAAAATATCCTAAGAAGAATCTCTTATGATTGTGAAAGTTGCTTTATTTGAATAAACGTTCCTTCTTGCTTTCCAAAGATTTCAAACGTACCGGAAATACGTACTGTAACTACATTTTCAGAAAACGACTCTTCTATTTTCAAGGTTTAAAAATAAAAGTGCATCTGGGAATCGTTGTCGTCTCATATTCAAGTAATATATTAAAATCAGTCCCTGCAAATAATTTGGGCGTTTCAAAATGCGTTTTATACGCATTTCTAGCCAAAAATGCTACGCATTTCAAACCTCTCTATGTTACGCCTACTTGGGATTTTAGTTAATGCATACCTTATAGGCGTTTCAAAACGCCCTCTAGTTACAGCTAGGTATTTATCCAGGCGTAACTCAAGTTACGCCTGGATAGGATTGATTATAATGCAGAAATG